AACCCTATATATTTCTATCCAAATCAATTATATCAATGCAAAAAATAAAAATTGTTAATTCTAAATTCTAAAATAATCTTAATTCTAAAATTAGTTTTTATTAGAATTTATTATAAGTATATGAATAAATATATTTCACAATAATATTTATACATAATAGACAAAACTTTTTCAAATTTTACTTCTATGTGTAGTAGACAAAATGTTATGTATTCTAAATTACTTGTATTTTATGCTACCATTCGATATTCACAATGACAATCAAAAAATTCACCTATTCGAAGAGGGAAAAAATAAAAAATAATTATTTTTATTCGTAATTTAAGATATGTTTAAAATTCATATATGTTCATTAAAATTCCGTCAAAAAGATAAAAAATTTTATATATAAATATTTATGATTTAAAATAATATATTTTGTAATAAACAAAGTTTTTTTTCTTTATTTATATAACATTTTATATTAGAAATTGAAGACGTTGCAGCCTTATTTAAAATTAATATATACTTATATATAATCTTCAAATTTTTCAGCTAGAATTTCAACTATCTACTGACATATACTCACAGACGCATACGAAAGAATACAATTTTTATTCAACTATTTATGTCTTATGAAAGATGTTTATAAACAGTCAGTATGTAGTATTCGATGTTAAATTTATTCTATTAAATTAAAAACACATTAATTACTATTGAAATAAGAGTATATTTCATTATTGATATATTAATACGTATATAAATACAAATTTAATTCTTCGAAATTTCTATTTTATTTTGTTACGAATAATAATGATAAATTAAATTCATTCGTTTTTATAAAATATTGTGTTGCTTCGCATAACACTCATTAACAGTTTTCAAGTACAAATTATTTCAACATAAATATTTATGTTTAATATATTTAAAATAAATATATCTTCCGTTATTTTTTAAAAATGATTATTTATGTTATATTTTTCCTCGTAATATTATTAAAGTTAAAGTCTATAACGGGGATAGTTTGAGGACAAATTTGAATAAGAAGTACGATTGAAACTGATGTAAACATTTTAAAATAAAGATTTTTATGTAAAAGTTTATCAATACATTTCTTTTATTTTAAAATACCTCTCAACACTTCGGAATTATTTGAGGAGAGGAATGTTATATTAAGGAATAATTATATTATAAAATTATTAATAATAACACAAATGATGTTAGTTAAAAGCTAACTTTTTAATAATTTTTTTATGCAGGTTTAAAGAAGCGATCAAAATAATTGTTTTTATTAATCACTTTTGCTGTTTACCCATTATATTACATATTAAATTTTGCAAAGTTTAAAACGAAATAAATTTTTTACAGATAATTTGTGATTATTTGAAAAATCGCTTTTTTTTGTGGTACAAACAATAATCTTCGAAGGAGTTCCTTGTTTTCTAGGTGGTCTCAGTACGCCAGGAAGAACAAAAAGCTCTATACTTATATAGTTTAATAATACATTTATCATTATGTTTACTGTCAGAGATATCAAAAGCGCTGGTGTACGTATTTATGGGATTATTTGCTTCTAGTTAATTTATGTAATATAATAGGGAAATATGGGATGCAGCAGACGAAAGCGTTGCAAAGAAAGTAAGTCTTATAACTACAATATCGCAGTTGTCACTGATTAAAACTTGTTGTGTAGAAAGAAATTACTTTGACATGATAAACAATATATTAAATAGATAAAAATATATCCATAAGAAGTGAATTATTATACTATAGAGTTATTGATGATAATGAAAAATATACTTGATTTCGAGAATTAATTTCGGAAATGTTCCTTTTGATGATATTTTGACTATCCTTTTTTATTTGGAAGATGACAAGAAAATTAAAAATGACTATATTTTAAATTATATGAATTTTGATATTTAATATAGTTCTTTAAATAAGACTAATAAAGGTAAAACGACTTCTCATATTCTCATACAGAAACCATTAAATATTTATAGAAATCTTTCAATTTAAAGTATAATGGATTTATTTTAGTATATTTTGTTACTTACAAAATTAACGGAATTACTAATAACCCTATACATACTGCAAAAAAAAAGTTATATAGATTAAAAATAAATATAAGCTATGATGTAGAATTTATTATTCATTCCTACGAATTAATTAACAATTTAAGAAGTTTTATTTAATATATATTAACATCTTGCCTTCCAAAATTATCATTACTGATCATACATTAATAATTTTGAAATTGGAAAATTATTTTATAATACGAAATTTTTAATAATTATACCTAAATCAATAAAAATTATTAAATGATGTAAGAGTTGATAACGAATTATTCGAAAGCCAAAGAATAATTTTTTTTTTATTTTTAAAAAATTATTTTATTATACATTTAAAATATTAAAATTCGTTTAAACTTTATTGATTTGACGTTATATGTGGTTATTATTGCGTGAGAAAAAAGTTTCGTGACTGTTAACTGAATTAATTAATCACACATATCAACAAATAATTATGCATTTATTCACTTTTTTCACATATATTGAATATGCGCTTAATTATTTTTAATCTTTCCTATTTATTTTTGTTTGGATTTAGCTTTTGCATTCAACATATGTATTCTACATATGATTACTAAGTAAGCTTGCATTTGCTTCAGAAAATATTTATGTGAGTACTTGTTTATGATTTAAAATATGAAGTCTCTAAATAATAATCTGAACTGACATAATAAGCAGTTGCATAATTTTTTTAAATCTAGAGATTAATTTTTAAAAATTATAATATATAATTATTTATTATGCCTTTTTTGTATTTAATATAAAAACTGAATTATCGGAACATTTATTTAAAAAATAGAACAAATTTAGCTTCATAATACAATTTAAAGACGATACTTTTATTAAACCACTCTGGCTATTAATGTTACTAAATTATAAAAATATATGTATTTTATATGAAACTTGACTTAAAAGAATTTTATTATACCGACAATTTTATTATACATATGCCATTATGAATTATTACGTCAAATTTCAAATAATGCTAGGATTTATACATAGAAACTATAAAACTACGTAAATTCTAATCTATGGACAAATTTGTCGTTGGTTTATACAGTTAGTGATAAGAATTCATAAAGAATTTGTTTTTATAAAATCGATAGAAATGGTTTACTAAAATAAATGAAGTTAATTTTTTATACCTTGGAGTTTAGGAAATATCTACATTTCGTCAATAAATTAAATAAATAACAACTAATATTATATACTTTATTTATTTGTAAGATCGATTTTAATTTTTCAAAAGTATAACTGATTTTGACAGTTAGATTTTTCGAGGGGTTACTCCGAATGCAACTATATTTCTTTTTATTTTTATGTTTTTTAATAAGCTATACCGTTTTTAAAATTGAGAATCAAATGCACAATTAAAACGATTAAAGGAAAATAGCAACCACATATAATTTACTAATAAATAAATATGTATATATACACACATCTGATATAAAAATTTAATAACCATTGTGTAACTTAGTTTTATGTTTTGATTGATTTAATTTCTTTATATGTATTAGTACTTTCCTAAAAAATACGTAAATGCATATTAATTTTGCATAAATCTAAATCTAAATCTAAATATTGAACTCTAAATCTGAAAATTTTTTCATACTTTTATATGACAAAAATTATAATTAAAATTTTTAATGTCATAATTATTCCTTATACTCCCTATAATCTATACGTATATAGTCGTGATTGTGAAATTTTAAATAATGAACAATTTGTTTGGTTATGAAATAATAAAAGCTCAATGATTTTTATATAAAACTGGTATGAGTATGGATTCAAATTTTATTCGGAAAAAAGTAATTTAATAACACACTAATTATAAGATACTTTTAATTATATATCAATACTCTGTAGTTTAAACGTTTTTTACAAAAAAGTTGGGTAGTTAATAATAAACGATAATTAATAATTGAGAATTAATTAATCATATTTAAAAACCAATCGAGCTTTTTTATTAGTTCATATAATTGTTGTCTAAATGAAAAGATTCAAATTGAGATGAGTAATAAAGTCGTCTATTTATAACTGAGGAATGTTTTGGAAATTTGTATATTAAAAAAAGAAACATAAAATATAAAACGGTGCCTATTTGAAAAATCATTGATAATATCATTCATTCGATCATTATGATCAGTAATATTTCTTAAAGATTTAACTAGAAAAATATTTTTGAAGGGGCGTGCATCTACTTGCATTCATTCTAGTCTTTCTTGCTCAACGTACATCATTATTTTCCATTATTGCTAATGATTTTAGCATTGATAATTAGCAGGAGGCGGGGGTTTTAGCCTACACATTAATCACATTCAGGATAGCCCCGATGAAGGAAATACCCCTTAATGGATAAGCCCAAGTACCATCAATAATTTTTCGACCACCGCTTGGTGGCCGTCGCGTCGATCGCGCACGAACTCCAAAGGTGAGCGTGCGGCGCATATGCTCACGCAGGCTCGCACGTACGCACACACGAGCGTGTACGTGCGCTCTTGGCCGGAGAGACAAGGACGGCAGACCCTTCGGATGCAACGTGTACTGTACCGTCTGTGTGCGGACAAATGAGCAGGCGCGAGAAACGAAGTTACATGGGAGGAGCGAAGTTAAGAGAAACGAAGAGAGAAGATGAAAATTCATAGTGAAGTAAAAAAAGGAGAGAGACAGGCTTACGATGCACGTATATATAATATATATGCGCTCGTAAGAGTAAAGTTCTCGTCTTCTCTCTCCTTCTCATTCGATGTGTTGAAAACCAACCTATTTGTACGGACGGTGAGCGACGGTTTTTTCTCACCTGTGCTTTTAATTTGCATCCTTATTTTATGGACGTCGTGCGTGATATATGACAGCAAGAAACGAGCTGCAGTTGAATACGCATTTGATAAAATAAGGGCGTCCCTCGCCCCCTCTCAGCTGGTGGCGCAAAAGGGACAGAGTGGCGCGAGGGAGTGGAGAAAGGGATATCGAAAAGGGTCGAGTGAGGGCAGAATGGTCGTACTGGGTTGGAGTTTGAGCATCGACCGGGACTACAATAGCCGCAGCTGTATAAGCAGCCTTCGAGGGAGAAGACTACAATCATCGTCATCAACGTAGCAATGACTTAACCTCTATCAAAAAATTCATTATACTCCTGTTGGCAATTGTTGTCCCGATCAAACTTTGCATTTTTATTTTGAAACTCCTTCTTTCTGCCTTCGTACGCACCCACGCACGGTCATCACAATCTCTGGCTCGCTCTCCCTCTCCTCGCCTTCCCAACCGTCCTCACCCCACTCTGGTAATCACAAAATATTTAATATATCTCACGCAACTATTTCACCTGCATGGCTCCATTACATTCATTGGCATCATCGTCGTCATCGCTGCTGGTATTACTTTAAGCAGGTTTAAATGTTTGAGATATAATGACCTCCGCGACGAGTTTGCCTATGCAGAGTACAAGAATGTTGTCTAGTTCATCGTCCCTCAGTCAGGTAATTATGTTTTAAATAGAAAAGCGGGTTTTGGTGTTTAAATTTTTCTTTTACATTTTTTACTACGAGTATACGTAAACTGAATATTTCAGAATGAATTGTTCAAATTATTGCTTTCGAATTCTTTTACATACTTTTTACAAAGCTTGTTTAATTATTTTCAATTTGTATTTCTTATTTTTTACGAATAAATGTTTATTTATTTCTTATTTTGTGTGGCAAGGGTAGAGCATAATAATCTAGAGGAGAAAAATATTTTACTTATTTATATTGCTTATAAAACAAGACTAATGATTTTCAAATATCATAAATATATAATACAATTTTTTTTATCTAACAATGTCTTCTATTTACTTCATTAAAAACACCCTCTTTACTTATTGGTTTAATTATTTTTTATTTCAAGTTGCAAGTATTATCTTATATTATCAATTTATTACAGTACTTTATCATATGATTTAATTCTTATTATTATTATATTTAGTATTTTTTTTATTTTTATTAAAATCGTTTTTAATATTTAATTTTCACACACACACACGTATGTATATATATATATATATATATATATATACACATACATATATGTATACACACATATATATATACCCATTGAGGTTCCTTTCACTGCATGATTTTTAATACTTAAACATGTTTAACAAGAATTATATTTATGTAATAAAAACGTGTACTGTAAATCTTAGAAATTTTTCTTTTGGGCCAGTGCATTCGTTTTTCATAAATATTTACTTTATAAATATTGTAATAATATTTAGCATTTTAAACTTCAAACATCATTTAAAAATTAAAATTATTATATTCACCATATTGAAATTAGATTTATTGTAGAAACTCTTACTATTATGTAATTCAATTTTAATCTTTTATTCTATTAATTCTATTGTATTTATTCTTATTTTTAGTTATTAAGATGAATTATAAGTCATGTAAAAAGTATATCAATATTTGAATATTAAAAGTAAATATGAATTATGTAAAAGATTCAAATTAAATATATTAGGCCAACTATTTAAAATCAATATATTTATCAATTAATAATAAAATTATTAATGTGATAAATACATTAAATTTGATTTATTTAATAGAGTATATTTTAGTAATTAAATTTGATTTCAAATTAATTCAGTTTTATAGATTGTGTTTATATAATATAAAATATCTGTATCATAAAAGTCTGTAATAAGACATTTTAAGATTTAAAATTATAATAATAAATACCTTAAACTATGCCTACTTCTGTATGTGTAGTTCTGTAGTATTTAAATTTTGGATGAATATATTCTTTGTTTAGATATTTATAAATAAAATTTATCTGGTAATACATTCACAAAATACTGTATTATTTTAATGTTTATTCATTTTATTAAATATAAATACATATCAATTAAATTAGGTTAAATCATGTTAATTTATATATATATATATATATATATATATTGCAAATTTCATAAAAGCTGTCTGAATTTCAATTTTTCTATTATTAGGTTCTGCAATCTGATCCAGTACGACGACTTTTCAATCAACCTAATATTGTCATTCATGCCATTCCTCGTAACAATTCACCAACAGCTTTTAGAATGGTTAGGCCTAAATATCCTACAGATCAAAAGTATTTAGTTAATGGGGACTATCAATTACAAAACAAACCAGATGTATCGATTCAGGTTGTCAGTTTATCAAATAATGAAACTAGTGAGGTAGAAAATCTCTTACCATCTAAAAGCAATGGAAAGTCTGAAATTTTATTAGTTCCTATAACACGGAAAAGAAAGGATTGTGGTCACTTTGAACCCTGTGAGAGTTTAGTCTGTAATGTCATTATACATGAATATAAAGATGACGAAGGAATTAAGCCACTTATCTCCATTAATATTGAAGATAATGAAATAGATGCTTTAGTCACAAAGCACTGTGAATATAATATATGTGATGCTCTTAGTATAGATCATGATTGTTGTCGTAGAGCATTGATTAAATTATATCGTTGTGATAAATGTATTATGTGTGATATTTGTGGAAATACATTTAAAACTTGTAAAGCTCGTATAAATCACAAGAAATGTAGAAGAAAAGAAATTTATCAACATAATACTGCCACTCCTTCAAGTATATTTAAGTTTAGGATGCGGGAAAGAGAATTACAAATACTGGAAGCAACAAGAGCAAAACGGAGTTGTGATTATCTTGATCCTATATTTGGTTTTAATCGTACAATGGAAACTTTAACAAAAAATGATGAACTCATCATTATACCTAAAATGCCTCCATATTTAAAAGGCTTTAAGACAAATTTCGCCCCTTTTAATAATAACACTAATAGTAGTAATAATAATGATCATATTAATAATAATTATAATAGCAACAGCAGCATCAACAATAACAATAACAATAACAACAATAATAATAATGTAAACTTAAAAAGTATTCTTGGAAATGATAAAATGCAAACCTCCAGTACTGATAAAGAATTAACAAGCGAAATGATATCTAGCATTATATCGTCATGTCAAAATAGTTTAAATAATAATCGAATCCAAAAAAACAATTCATCACCATCCAAGCAAATTAAGTTATCTGATCATTTTAATGGAGGGATTGTTAATATTATGGACACCCCAATTTCAGAAGATCGCGAGTATATTAATATTGCTTCATTATGTTCAAATACTAATAATTCAAGTTCATCTGTTAAGCAACATCAAGAGCCTAATTTGAAATCACCATTAAGTCATTCAAATACAAATCTACAACTCCAAAATAAAATTGAAGTGACAAATAAAGGTAGTGTAATTTTTATTTCAATTAAAACGTATACTACAAGCGATTTTTATAAATTATTATAAATTAATGTAAAATATTATAAAAGGAAGATATTATTTTGTAAGGAATTTTGGAAATAAGCAAGGGAAAAATTTTTCCAAAATATATAATCAAAGTCTTGCTCAAAGTGTATAACATTTTTATTATAATACAAAGTACTTCCAAATGCATAATATTTTATCAATTAAACAATTATATAACAATATACGGTAAACTCTATAAGAAATAAAAAAAAATATTTTTTTTAATTATTTGTATTTTTATTTTTAGAACCACCAGTAAATAATGTTCCTGAACCTATTGAAGAATCGAAAGAACAAAAGTGGATATTGCCCAGTGAATCCTATCCTTTTAAAGTAATGCCTATTATTGAATTAAAATCCGAACCATCGCTCCTTCATCAAACTCATGGATTACCGAAGTTTTGTGTCGTAGCCGATACTCCGGCAATGCCACAACTTGTGCTTAACGTTAAAAGGCCATACCAAAAAGAAAATTCCAATCAGCAGGAGAAGCATACGCCGCCATCGTCACTACCAAAATTATTGCCTAAAGCTGTTCAAGTGTTAAATTCTGGTAAATTCCGTCCATTGCAGCCGGCTTTGTCTGGCACCACTCGAAATATTGATTCGAAACTAGATGGTGCTATATTGATTAAGAAACAGAAAACGCGAAAAAGATCGCGTAAGACACTTAAGTTACTTAAGAAAGGTAAATACAGGTGTACATATTGTTCAAAGAGGTTCTCCTCGATAGATTATTGTAGAGTGCATATAGCCAAACATGAAAACAATCCAAGCTTCTTTTGTCGGCTATGTGAAAAAGGATTTGTTAATAAATATGTTATGAAAAAGCACTTTGACGCCGATCATAAAGTTGGCGAAGTGCGTTGCGAAATGTGCAATAATATCCTGCCGTCACTGCAGGACCTGTTAAGACATATGAAGTATCCAGAGACCAAAGTGAAACAGCAATGCTCAGAGTGTTCTGAATCCTTTGATATTTGTAGTAGTTTAGATGTCCATATGCGAAAACAACATGGTTTTCTTATCTGTACTTTGTGTAAACGTCAAGTGACAAAGATTAAAATGAGGAGACATTTGATGCTTGAACACAGCATCTCAAAAAATCGCACAGAAACTGGATTTAATAAGTTATGTTATATACCTAGTGAGAATGATAAGATATCTGAAATAAATTTGATCAATGAGGTTGTAAACCTTGTAAGTAAATCAAGTGCAAAAATAGAATCAATTACTGAAAATAAAATTGAAGTGGATTGCATTGCAAGAAGTCGATCTATTCGGAGAAGGAGTTCAAAAGAATTTTTTGTCTGTACTGTGTGCGATCGACGTTTTGAAAATGAAAAACAGTTTCAGATACATTTAGCTAATAATCCAATGAAATTTACACTTTGTCCTATTTGTGGTAGAAAGTTTCATAGAAAATCTGAATATACAGAGCACAGTAAAACATGTAGTCTGAGTACTAAAGTAATAGGTAAATTTTGTAATAATTTGTATATTAATTTATCAATAACTATTAAGTCTTCATTACATATTTTTATAAAATCAACTTGACATTCATAAATTAATGACTTTTCTTCTTAACATAATTTAAATAAATGCAATGTTACTTTTTCATGAAAAACTTACTAAATATATTATACACTGTACCTTGTTTTATTTTTAAATATATTTTAATAAATAATTTTTAAAATTTTATTAATAATTGTTATATTTCAGTGGAGCAAGCACCTAAAAGAAAGAAATCAAACATTGTGAATGATGAGTTAATCTCAAAAGATATTAGATTTCAGAACAGTATTGACCAAAAATTAAATGAAACTCTAAAACTTAATAATGGTAAGAAATTTAAATTGAAACATGAAAAAATTATACAGAATGATGAAGATAAAAGCATCTTGAAGAGCACAGTTACCAACATTACAATTGTGAATGGTTTAAAACAAGATTCTAGTGATTGTTTGGACATATTGAATGTTATAAAATTAGAAAAAAATATTCAAAAAAATGAAAATTATGATGTTATAAAAGAGAACGATAAAGAAGTTTTACTATTGAATGTGAAGCAAACTCAAATAAATTCCAATAAATCAGCAGTATTGGATAAGTTGATAGCAGTGACAAACATCATTCAAGATCATAACTATCAAGCATTAAAATGAGTTACATAATTAGTAATTTTTAATTTATGTGCAATATTAATTTATATTAATATTATATTAATATTTTATTATTTTAATTTGTTCTTTTTTTTATAAAACTTTGTCTAATTTTTTATGTTCAATTTAGTTAACAAAAAGTGAGAATAAGTGTGCAAATTTAGTTGTTAAAATTTTATTTAGGCAAATCACATTTTATTTGCAATATAAATTTGATTTGCACATTATAGAAATGATATATTCTCTGTGATAAGATTAACATTTTCCGGTAATGTTAAAATATATATTTACATTACATTATTTTTTTTTATTACAAAGCCAATATTTAAGTTAAAAGCGGATTGAACTGTTTTATATTTTTTAATTTACATATTTTATATTTTATATATATATATCAACAATGAAGATTTATGGAAATTGAAGATTTCTTTCTTCTGTAACAAGTTTTATTTACAATTATAAACATTACAATAAATTTTTACAGCTTTTGTCACTGAAGTGTGATGTATACTATGTGATATGATAAAAATATAGACTAAACTAATTCAAATGCATATTTATTATTAACATAAATAAATAAGAGTTATTAAGCAATGTTGTACTTTAATTGTATTATTTTAAACATTTTAAGTCCGTTTTTAACTTGAATAATTATTTTTATCACAAATACTGATAAAAAGTAAAGTGCCTTAAAAGAAGTAATGTTCCTTGGAATTGTTAATATATTAATTTCTGGTCATTTTGCGAGTATGTATTATTTTAGTTAATTATTGATTTTGCACAATTTTTATATTGTACATTATAAATACTAACAAATTTTTATATAGTTAATAGGGAATTTGTAAAATGTGATAACATGTTAACATCTATTTATGTATTTAGTAGTTTTCATGTCAATATTGTAAATAAATCATATATATATATATATATATATATATATATATAATAATAATAAAATCATTTTATGCAATTACATAAATTGATAGGATTTTTCAATTAATAAGTATAATTGTAAAAGTACAAGATAGATTGAAAGCAAATTTTTTATTTGTATCAAATATGGAAAAATAGAATCAATATTCAATTATTCAACGAATGTGATTTACTATGGTTATAAATACCTTTCATAATAAATTTAATATTAATCATCTTTGATCCCATGTTTCTAATATAACAATACGATTTTTCCAGATCTAATAAATAAATATATTTTTTAAATAAAATTGTATATAATGACAAATTTTTAAATACAATTTTATTACCATTTCAATATTAATTTTTGTACTATTAACTAGATTTTTTAATAATTTCATCAAATAACATATTCATAAATGTATTAAATTCTTTTAATGTACCCATTAGGATTTGATTGCCTATAATAAATATATCTATTATTTATATTATATATTTTTGTATAACATAAATAAATAATAATAAAGAAATACATTATCTACTTGTCTAGCCATTTTTTGTCTATATAACTGGAAAAAAAAAATTATTTAAAAAATATAATTCAAGCTTAACCTAAAAATGTTATAACTGAACGTTTATGTACGTATTACTACATTAATACTACATTTTATCGATGTAAACATATGGTTATTAGCTTTTTCAATTCTAAATAATGTACTTTATGAGTTTTAGCAGATAAATTATTATATGTTAAGAATGTAATTTTGTTCCATAAACATTGTGTTATTTTAACATATTAATATTTTCGTTCGAAATTATTAGGACAACTTGATTATGAGCATGGGTTTGTATACTTAATGACATAATGGCATGCAGTGATCAATTATTCACATAAGGTTTGTGCTTTAATATCTATATATCACTTGTTATTATTTTTATTCTTTTAAATATGGACATTAAATTACTAACGAAAATTTTATGTCTGTATACATACACAATATATAAGTATACATTAATAAAGTAAAACATTTTTAGAACTTCTATTTTTATATATTTATATTTAACTGGCATCAAAAAACTTAAATAAAAATAAATAACATTCATGATGTATATGTGCATATTAAATATTTTGTAAATAAATTCCAAGTAATGTATTGTGCTTCTAAATTACATGGATATATAATAATTGGCTTGTCGTAAAATTAATCAATAGACCAATATGGAGCCGCAGTTTATAATAAATTAAAATCGACCATAATATTAAAATTGTTTTCATTTCATATTTAGCTATATAAAATTTCATTTTATTAAGTGCAGAATTTTAATATTAACATTATATTAAATAATACATACTTATTATAATTAAAAAAATTTATAACTTGATATAAAATGATAAATAAATTTAACAGATCAGTCTGCTTGCATTAATCTTGGTTTAATTAGCTAAAAGAAATTAAATTTTTTCTCATAATTGTAGCTTGAAAATTATTTTAAGTACCGTATATTCTGTAATAGCCGATACATGACTTATTGTTAAAATAGCAATCTAACCAAAAATGTAAACAATCAGCAGTCGTCAATTTACCTCATTTAATAGGATTGCACTTACTATGCACTTACGCATATGTAATACACATGAGGTTTAGACGGAAGTGAATATACCACACAATCTTAAGAAAGAATAATTAGTATGATGACTCAACAAAGTTTATAAAGATATAGTATTTTTTGAAGATTTTAAATTTATTGAAAATAAAAATACATCTTAACTACGTATTTTTCATTAAAAGTTAAAGAATTACAATAACACTCAAAAATTTCTAAATCAAGACTTGAGGTACTTCAAGTAACGATATAAAATTCCGTACATTAATGACACTTCATCTATAGAGATTTTATTGTAACGTTAAAATATTTTAACGTTTAAACTCTTACAAAAACTTTTTTTTTAATCTTAATGAATTGCAAATCTAAATCACAAATAATTATTTATATAATATAATATTTAATTATGATTCAAGCGTTTAAGGGTTTTAGATTTGATATTTGGTAGTGAAATATATAATTGTATCAATATTTATTTCAATGTTATTTTTATATTAATTTATATATAAATTAATAAATGAATGATTAATTATACGAATTTTTTTCGTAGTTAAAAATTTTTAATTTTACCATCATCTTTTAATTGTGAACATTTTGGCATGGTTTATTAGTATTAGACATTATCATTAGTTTTATTTTATAATAACAAAATATATATACATGAATTTTTTTAATTAAAAGTAACGATAATAAACATTAATATAATTTATTTTTGCAATTTTTCATTTTATACAATTAAATGCCTGGTTATGTATTTTATGTATAATACATGGATAGTTTTTAAAAAATATCTTTGGAAATATTGCATGTCACGATCTTAATTTATTTTAATTATAAAATAATAAGCTATGCTTTGTGTACGTTATCTATCTATCATAAATACTTATTTATACCGTGTAAATGACAAGAGAATTTACAATATATCCTAATAACATATCAGATGATGCTTGTTTTACTATTTTAGTGGATGTATATTATTTTAGCAAAATACTTAAAAAACAAAACATTTAATTAATAGGAAAAAAATTGTTCATACTATATTAATGAAAGTCTTATTTTTCAACGTTTGAAATAAAATGATTATCATTATATTTCAATTATCCTATTATTTTGTAGCGTGGCTTAAATTTTAATAAGATTGTAGAGTATTTTGATTAATTTCAATATTCAATAATGAAATTTTCAAAATTAATAATTGAAGAAAGATTAATTTCATAAGATTTTTGGATTTTCTCTTCATAAGACAAATCGATATTAATTAACTATTCAGTTTATAAACAGCAAGTTCTTTAACAGAGAATGCCTTAATAAATATTTAGTAAGATTATCACAGACAAGAATATAAACTCATTATTACATTGGCACCTAGGCAACATACTTTTATTTTTATCGTATCTATATGCACAAAAATTATTTTTCATTTTACAATTTGATTTGAATGCCCATATTAAGTTTCATTATAATAAGAAGCAACGAGAGGTACATCATAGACTTAACGACGTGTTGCGCAAATTTATCACGCAATACCGATTTGATTCTGGCGTTGTCGGACCTATCCGAATACAGCCGAATCCGCCCGAGGTACAGATTTCCAGACAAAACGCCATTGCGCTAAAATCGGAATCCGAAATTATCATATCGGTTTTCGTGTGTTCGACCTGTATCGTTCTAACAATGCCAACTGCGCGAACTAGTCTTCAGAAGATACACAAACAGTATCCAAAACTGCGCTACCGGATTAGCATCTGTAATCATAGGACCAATAATTATTGTAAGGAAATATTATTTATTTTTTAACTCTATATGTGAAAATTAATGTGGTTTGCATATCACTTTATCTTCTAGGGAACGAGTTTTGGTTTTGAGGCGCACTTCCGAATAATTAGACCGGTATTAGAACGATATCAAGCACTCAAATGCGTTTTAAAAAGTTCCGGTTAGTGGAACTATCTCCTCAATTATCTGAATAATTCATAAAATAAACTTATATATATAAAATTATATTCTTAATATATATATTCCAATTATTTTAAGAATATAATCTTATTTATATCTCCAAAATTATATATGTTTATGCGTTTTATATAAAGCTCCTTGATCATATGTCGAGCTATTGTGATTAATGAAGAATGATGAAGAATCGTACGTCCACGAAAGATGGATTCTTCGGCTACTACATCATTATGTCAGTAAAAATCAATATAATTTACACGTTACATAATGAATAAAATTTACGTATGTAAAGAATTAGTTTTTGATGTAAATAAAATAAAATACTATGAATGCTTTCATGCTTTTTTAGTTTTTATTTTCCTTGTAATTTTATTTATATTATTATTTATCTTATTATATATATATATATATATATATATATATATATATATATATATAATAAGAATAATACTATAATATATAATATATATATAATAATAATACTATATATATATATATATATATATATATATATATATAGTAACATTTGATACAATATAGATACGTACACACAAACTTGAAAATTATAAAAAATTATAACTAAACAAGCATGAAATTAATATTATATATTTATAAAATAAATATAAGATACAAATTTTATAATGTTATTAATATTAATTTACTGCTCTTTTTAGTTAACCTAAGATAGTTTTTTTTAGTTTGAGTTAGATACGAAAGTCAGACAAGAATTTAAGAAGGAATCATGGTAATTTTAAATTTCTATCAGTTTAAAGAAAGTGATGAAAGACATTTTTATTGTTGCAGAGAAATAAATTTATTTTGTCTACTACTATAGACTAGTACATTTATATCATATGTATACATCACAATTTTTTGCCTATTTAAGACTTTAGAACTTTCTAAATCACTTGATTCGATTATCGATAATTTCACAACATAACATAGATTCTCGAAGTATAAAATACCTCGTTTTTGAATACATTAAAACGCATAAAAAAGTACAAATATAATAATAACAACATCAAAATTTATTAATAGGAAAAATTTTGGTATCATTTTCGCATAATGTATATTTTAACATTTATATTTTATTATATGTTCGTCATAACCAATGCATAATTTTACGTATGTGGTTACAAAATAACTTTAAATGAACAATTTTTGTTTATGACTTGAGTTATTAACAATTTTATTATTCATAAGTCAAATTATATTTTTCTAATTTGCATTTTTTACATAAGTAAAATAATAGAAGTTATATTTGCGTTGTACATAATCAATTCAACTATAATTTGTTAAAATGTTTTATAAATTTTTATAATATTCTATTTACACATATATATTCATACATTTATAGCTATACACGTTCAAATATTCATACACACATATATATCAATATATATATATATTCATAAACACATTCTGCACGTACATACATGCAAACACATTATATGAAAAACTGTTTGTCACAAGAATAAAACAGTAATGTCTTCATGATTGTATGCGTATAATAGATTCGTAACACCAAATATACAATACAAATTTGAAAAAAATAATTTTTTGTAATGACTGCTATGTTTCTATGAAAGTTTTACGTATAATTTTAATAATTATTGTTAACATTAGTTAACAATATTAGCTAATTTTAATAATAACAATTTTTTAAATATTCATATTTAGTTATATGGTTTAGAAAAGGATGGCTTTGTTTAGTAATTTTTTAAATAATTAATTATAACGATATTATTTATAAAAATCTGAAAATTGAATTAAACTAACAAATTGTTAATATCATTTTATTTTGAATTCGTTATTATACTTAAAGTAAATGTCATCAACAATAATTAAGGATTTTTATTTAAGGATATAAATTTCATAAAAAAATGTTAGGTATAAATGTTATGTAAAAATAATTAAATATTTATTTTTTATTTAAAAGTAATTTTGAAATATGTATGATAAGATTAAAATAATATTTTAAAATTTTGAATTTTTAATTAGTAAATAATTTGATAAATCACAAAGTTTGTTTTAATAATGGAATATTTCTTTTAAATGTACATTAATTTTTAAACCTTAAAAAATTATGTAATTAAAATATAAATAAATGTGATATATATTTGAATATTTTTATTAAATAAATAGTTTTCTGATATAACAGTCTTTTAAAATTTAATTTTACTACATTTATTAAATATTTACATATAATACGTAAATGAGTTATTATATTAATTACATAGTCTATTGATATATTGCCTATAAATATTGATAAACTATTTATAAAAACGTGAAGAATTATTTTGTATAAAATTCAATATGTAAACTATTATGTTTTAACAAGAAATCTTATCTAATAGAATTATCTACTATCCAAATTATATTTTGGCCTTCTTTTTTTTCAAATAACTATAAATGTTCATATGTAGTATCAATTTCATGAAATATTTAGTATAAAAATGAATAAGCGATTATTAGTTTAACAGTTAATAGTTTGTTACATTGATAATTAAGTAGCATTTGTTATTAGTTTAATTAAATAATTTCTTATTTCACCAATTTATATACGAATTTGAAATTACATTTATAAATTAATATTTAAATACAAATTTCTTTTTTGTATTAATCATATAAATAATTCACATTTTGAGTTAAAATAGTTTATTAATTATTTTACTATTAACTCAGTGGATAATTAAACGTTGATTTTAGAATTTTTTTGTATTTTATTTTTGTAATAGATATTTAACTTAATGATTTTTTTACAAATGAGAATGGATTAAAATTATATAAAACTATTTGTTTATATTTCTCTAATAATTTGTTTTATTTTATTTATTGCAGTGATTGTCTGCAGAAGTATATATTTATTTCCAACTATGTATTCTATGAAAATAAATTATAAAATTTATGGATATACCAATAAATTAAAAAAAAAACCAAAAGAATGGTAAAATAATTTTTGTTCTTAAAATATATACCTTTACATTTATTTTCCTTCAATTTTAACATTTTATTTTTTCTTTTAATTCTTATTCATATTTGTGTATTATTGATCTCATATAATGGTACAAATAATGTTTAGCTTATAAGTAAAGTTGTCTAACATAAATAATACTATTTTTGATACATTGATATGAGTGTGCTGTTTCTTTACAGAATGAATCCATTCTGTCCTGAATAGGCTAATCTCAAAAAGAAAAAATTTTAATAAGTTAAATTTAATTACACATGTAATAAATTTTTTTTTATATATACAAATTGACACGAGGATTTTCACCATTTATATTATAATTTATATTATGTTATTTATATTGCTTATTGTATTAAGTACATAGGTTGCTGTTAGTTTAACAGAATTTAATCTATTAAATTTATTTAATTGAATTATATTAATGAAATTTTAATTTAGATGGTTTGTATAGATAGAAAATAATGTCATAATCATGCAGAATAAATCGTTTGAAACATTTAAAAAACATTAAGCTATTTAATTACTGCGAAACAACACTCATTTATTTGTTGAGAATATTAAATTGAAAGTCTATTATTGTATATATTAAATGGAAATATTATAAAATAATTTTTAGATTTTAAATTAAATACTATATTTTAATTTATTAATGGATCGTTTGTATGTTTTATCAAGTGATAATAATATTCATGTACATAATAACGTAATAAATTTTTAATGTTATTTATTTAAATAAAGAGCATTTTTTAATTATTATATTAGCTTCACAATGTTCAACATGAAAATAATATTTCTATCTTTTGAAGCAACTAAAATTGTATACTAAACAATTTTATTTAAAACTTTTTAATAAGTATTCTATAATTTTATAATTTTTAATAATATTGCAATGTAAACTATGAAAATAAATACATATTTTGTGGAAGAGTGGCAAAATGAGATTATTTTTAGAAAATTTCATGCCTAAGTTATGTATTATATATTATAATTGTACGTATATAATATATTTATACACATAATTAGTTATAAATTAAATGGAATATTTTAGTACGTATGTCTACACATAATGAGTATGCTATTTTACTAAATTATTTTTGTCTAATTATCGATCAGTACCTAATAATGCATAGATATTGAATTATATTTGCAATATCAAGTCATTATACAATGAGAGATACACAATTATAATTACACTTACATTTTAAAATAGATTCAATGGTTTATTTGAACATAAATAATCTATATCTGATGTCATTTTTATTATAAATTTTCTAAATTTGTTTTTATATATTACAGAATTGTAATTATATAAACTGTCTAATATTGAAATAAGGAAAATTTATGAGAACCTTATATTCTATATTTAATTTCATTAACTTCATAAAATTATAAAATGAAATAACTTGACTACGTTAGTTATATTAGAAATATTAATGCAGTTGTATATTATGTATATTAGAAATATGTAGAATAAATTAGAATTTAGATTACTAAGAATTTTGCACTGAACAGTATTATAATACTTTTTAACAAGATATTTATACCGAGTAAAAGTATGATCTACGCAATTTAATCTTTTTGATAAAAATATTGAAATTACTAACATAATATTATTAATTTCTTTTAAAAAAACTGTTTATAATACTTCATGTTTTCTTTAATAAAGTTCTATGGATCAGTGAAGTTGCAACTTCTTTTACACCTTTTAATTAATTTTTAAAAAGTTAAATGAAAAGATAAAAAGATAATAAAAAAATATATATTTATTCTATATTAACTGACTAGTATTTATAAACGTTTGAAATTCTTGTTTAAGACTGATTGCAATTTAATTACGATTAATCGAGCAAACAAGAGCGAATATATGTCATTTATTCAATTTTTTATCAAGTTAAAGTCATTTAAAGTATGTACACTTGAATTTTTTATAAATATTAAAAATTCATTTTGTAAAATAAATTGTATTCTTTGTATAAATATACACTATA